AGTTGTTCTTCATTCTCGGGATGCTACGACGGTTCATGGTTATGTGTTGATGGTTGATATAGTGATGCTGGTTTTTGCGCCCGGCAGTACTTGTGATGTTTTCTTCGGGGTCATTCTAGTGCTTTCTTTTTGCATGAGTGAGATTGTTGCGTTGATGCTCTAATAAGTCCCCCTGTTGCTAAACCTATGATAGTATGTTTGCTGTATGCGCGTTAATGAATTAGGAAGGCTTGCACGTATTTCTCTCCGACCATGTGTTATGGTGAGTTTCTTCGAAATGTTTTTATAATGGTGTCGTAAATTCTGTTTGAATGAGCGCCTTGCTCTTAATGTTATATGGATATATGTGCATACTTAGAGTTTTTTCAATCTTTTCTCTCACTAATGAGCGGACTATCTTCAAATGTATGGAAATTGGATTGGTCACTGGCTTGGTGTTTTTCCCGGATCGCTGGGTAACTGACGGGTCTAGTTATCCTTCTGGGGAGGCCTTCATGTTGAACCATTCGTGGCCTGCCAACCAGCGATCTTTTCTTAATGGCATGGGTTGCACGGCTGTTTTTTCGGGTGACGTGAATGTCGGAATAAAAATTTTTATGTGCTTTATGCAAAAAAAAACCCTGGGGAATTCAGTTTGGCTTTTCCTTATTTATCCATGCGTATTGATCAAGCTAAAACGTCAATATAAGGCATGATGTTCTGCTTTGTTTGCTGCGCGGTTATTCGTGCAGTGGCTTACTGTTCGCAATAAAACACACACACGCGAGCACGCACACATACACACACACACACAGACACACACACACACACGCGCGCGCGCACGCACAAACACACAAACGCACACACACACACACACACACACACACACACACACACACACACACACACACACACTCCATATCAGTCATGAAAAAACATGAAAAAAAAAAATTCTGCTTTTCTCTTATTTATTATTATTATTATTATTTTTACCGATTTTCGTTTTTTTTTTTTTTTTTTTTTGCCACTTATTTTTTACCCCACAAAAGTATTCAAAATCAGGCCGCAAACTTGGCCTGCGGCTGCGGCTGCGGCTGCGGCCGAATTGCCCGCGGCCTAGGCTGCGGGTGTCACATAGCTCCTGTCTAATTGGTGGGGAGCAGCATCTACTGGGAAGCGGGCCCAGTGTCCCTTGCACACAAATGATGATAACAACTATTTGGACAATTGGAGGTTTGCCGCTTCAGCCTGCAAGCAGGCAGCCTGATACGTCTAACTGTACTAGCAGACTGGCCTCCTGACCCTGCTACTGAGCCCACTGAATGAACTCTTCCTATGCTTCCAGACATACCTGGTCCATTGCAAACTCCCCAGAAAGAACTCCACCCTTAATGGGATCTCGGGATCTCGGGATCAATTCGCCACCATGTATGAAACATAAGAGTGCAGTCCTTCCTAGGAGTGGCTTCATCTCCCTTGCCCCTCTGGCTATTCACATATGTTATCCATCCCCCTTTGTCCCCTATCAGCCAGTCAGCGCAGAACCTATTGATTTCGTTGCTGATCTCTTTCTTTTGGGACAAGGTACACATTTCCTTTTGTGCCTTTTGGAGGAACTGGTAGACTGTTTCTGAGACTTTTTCCCCTGCTACCCGGAATCCCTCCAAAGCATGTGCATAGCGTTTCCACCACAGAGAGAAGAGGTTTTCTGTGAAAGTTGAAAGTTTAGGTGGCTGCCATGTTCGTAGACAGAGTGTGTTCCATTTCCATGGCCAGTCGAAGCTTATGCCCAGTTGTCTCCAAATTATGTCCCACCAAAACTATGTTAAGACTGTGCCTGCGCACTGGAGAATGATATGCTCCATGGTCTCCCGGATGCTGTGACTATGGAAGGGTCCCTGGAAGGATTGCAGCACGGGAGGGCAAGGTCCTTTTGCTCTTAGACTAGGTGAGAGTGGTCTATCAACCAGTCGTTTGTGGGTAGGTAGCGGTGGACTATCTGCAATTGCAGGGGAACTGAACCTTGCTGGTCGCTCTTTTAGTCCCCTGAAGGGCCACTTTATCTGGCGAAGGTTGTTGCTGTGAACAATGTCACTTCGATGTCCCGCGTCTCTGTCCTTATCCCCCACATGTCCCCCCGGGTTCTGAGCATTCGATAAGTTGGTTTGACCGCTAAGGTGCGGACACTGTGTGAGAGTTGAAACCTGCCCGTCTTTTAGATCAGTTCTGTGGGGTCCAAGGGCAGGGCTGAAAAAGGTACCTCCGGGCAATAGCCGAATCTGACTGGGACCGGAGCACCCGGATCCTGTAGAGGTCCTCCCATCCTACCCACTCCACTGGATCTGGGATTCTGGGGAGAGGCTGCCCAGGAAATTATCACTGTTTCACTGAACAGAGAAGTGTCGGTCCCGTCCGTAGTATAACGACTCAATCCGGGGCTAGGTCCCACTTGCACGAACTAAGAGATACTGACCGTAGATAGCATAGATCAACGGTCTTAATCTCCTAATTTGCGCAAGTGGGACCTTGCCCCCAGTGGAGCTCAGTACACTAGTTGTTCCAGGCTGTCTGGGATCGAATGGGGATACCTTAGGCAGGTGCGTAGTTGCAGTTATGATTTGCAATCCCTTGTGCCCTGGTCCCTATGACCAACCCTTACCACCCCATGTTTCTCCCAGTTTGCCGAGGGGCTGGCGCAGGACTTCCTCAAAGTGGGTAGGGAGGGGTTATCAGGGAGTGGTAGCTGCCACCAAGTTTTCAGCAAGGTGACCAGAAGTCATCCTTGTCCAAATCCCGTAGCCTCTGACAAGCCAAGCTCCTGACGTAAGCCCTGATAGATTTTGACGAAACATGGACAAAAGGGGTCTGTTCCAAATGTTTGCTGGTCATTTCATTTGCATGAGTTTTTCAGGTTCGTCCTTGTCCTTTTTTCAATTTAGCCTTCCATGCTGTAAATTTGCTTAGCCCCCTCCTTTCTTCCCCTTTGAACTCACTGAGTGTGGATCTCGTGTCATCTGTAGCGGACCCACCAGGTGTGGTGCTCCGCTAGTGACACAGATGGAGATGGAGGAAGAAGGGGGGGGAGCGAGATGGCACAACGCAACTCCCCACGCAAGACTTCAACGCACGTACTCCCAAATGTGCAAGTAAAGAATGAGACTGGAAACAAACAATGGCTGGGGTATACCCCATCGGACTGACGGGACTGGACTGGACTGGCTGGTACCGACAGACGTACCGGCCTGGACTGGCCTACCCCGAATACAACACAGGCCTGTGAGAACAGGCCAAGGGGCTGGTCTCACAGGCCAACCCGAGGTCCGCTACACGATCCTCGGCCTGTGATGGATCGCCTAGATACAAACATGCTTCCGCCAAGAAGCGGAACTCTACCAAAGAAAAGAAAACCTGAGTAGTCTAAAATGCGGAGCAAGCTCCGTGCTGAGTCCATGCGATGCAACCTAGGATATGAAATGTCACAAAACAACAATGTGACAACTAACAGCCTAAGTGAAAGTAGAAGCAACTAACTAACATACATGTCCTAGGAAAGCAAAAGCAACTAACTA